GGTCAGTTGTTTTTTCAAACACGCCACGTGACGCCACCACACGCCGCCCTGATTCATTTGGAGGACACAATATCCGAATGTGTCAGAATGTCTCGACGACGCCGGGGTTAAGGGGGATGCATTTGCAATACGTCCAAAACATGATACACGTCGGATGCATGCAATGTGGTATGGGATGTGGGGTACGTTTAGACTCTTTTTATAGGACAGAGGGCGCAGAGTCGTCCAGCTGTGGAGGGCTGGAGAGAGGTGCCGTGGGGGACTCTTTTTAACATCTTTTACACAAAAGCTATTGTGGAGGAACGCGCATTTTTGTGGGTAGGAATGCATGTGTTTTTTCTTCTCCCACTTGTGGTGGTGTAAGTTGTTTTGAGCCACACCACCCTGTGGCGCGCAAGTGAGATTTTGTGCGCACGCACCTGATGCACTCGGGGTCCGCTGTAACAAACCGCGTACTGCTTAAAAGACCACTATCTCAGACGTTGAAATTATCGAGCTTGTCAACTTGTCTTTTTCCTTTTTAGATTGAAAACATGAATCCTGAGAAAGGTCACAGTTGGGATAATTTAACGGCGGACCTTGTCGAGCGTGTTGTTAGCTTCCTGGATCCAAACGAGGTGGTATGTACCGTCAAGGAAATCAATAAGGCCATGGCGAGCCAGTTTCGGGAAAAAGTAGCTATCCGGCTGTCGCAGCCCGTACCCCATCACGCGTTCAACAGGCACTGGAGCCTCCCGGAGGCAGTTCACAACCTCACACGAAGTAAGCGCCGAGAGCTCGTAGTCCTGACGGCCCGCAGCGGCAGCCTGGCCAACCTGCAGGTCGCCGTCAAGGCAGCGAGCTGCGAGCTCTCCTGGAAGGTCTCCAACGCAGCAGCCGAGGGCGGCAATATTGAGATGTGCCAGTGGCTGCAGGGAAAAGACTGCTTCTTCCTTTCTGAGCAAGCGGCAGCAGCAGCTGCCCGAGGTGGCCATCTGGAAACGGTCCGGTGGCTACTGCAACAGGAGCGTGATTTTCGAGAGCTACGGAGAGCCGGTTCCCAAGCATTTATAGCAGCCGCCTGTGCCGGTCATCAGACTGTGTGTGAGGGGCTCCTGGAGGACGGTACTCCGTTGAAACACTGGAGGTGTCTTCCTGGTGCCGCCCGCGGTGGCCATGTGGGCCTCACACACAGGCTCCTTCAGCTTGAGTCAGAATTTAGGTCAGTGTCGG